GTCTGCTGATCAACTGAACGCTGTCTCCGTGTCATTCCTTCTTCGCCGACTCCGTCCACACCTTTGGGGACCGCTGGACATGCTGGGGTTGGACCCCAGCGCCCTTGACTGGAATTGAACCTGGGACCCTTCAGTTCGCAGGCGGATGCTCTATCCACTGATCCAAACCGGCTAGGGCCTGGACAGATGTTTTCATTTCTCTTGTGCAGATACCCAGGAGTGGAATTGCTGGGTTGTATGTCTAACCTTTTCAGGAACTGCCAAACTGTTTTCCAAAGTTCATTCATCATCGGTGTATGAGAGTTCTAATTTCCTCCTGTTCTCATTAACTGCTGGGGTCCAACCCCAGCAGGTCCAGGGGTCCCCAAAGGTGTAGACGGAGTCGGCGAAGAAGGAATGACATGGAGACAGCATTCAGTTGATCAGCAGCCTTGCCAGGATCTCTAGCCACAATCTCCAGCCAAGTTCTGTGTCCATGTTCTCTTGCTAGGTTCTCCAGCCACATTATCCAGGTTCTCCAGCCAGGTTCTGTAGCCATGTTCTCTCGCTAGGTTCTCCGGCCAGGTTCAGTCGCCAGGTTCTGTAGCCGGCTTCTGCAGCCAGGTTCTGTCTAGGTTCTCCAACCAAGTTCTGTAGCCAGGCACTTAGTTAAGAGGTTTTATTCCCTCCCTAACTTCAGGGGAAAATCCCTACCTGGGGAAACAACCTTTCTTGGAGAGGTGACCTTGGTTAAAACACAGTGCCAAGAAGGTGAGCAAACATACCAAGAACAGTATGCCATATATGCCAGGTCCCTTGAAACAGCAAGGGTGGACTGGCTCCCGGCAATTAACCATTATTATGTTTTTGATTTTAACCATCCTAAAGGATTTGAAGTGATATTTCATTGTTTTTTTTTAAATATGCATTTTCATAGAGGCTAATGATGCTGAACATGTTTTCATGTACTTATTGGCCATTGTATATCTTCTTTGGAGAAATGTCTATTTAGATCCTTTGCCCATTTTTAAATTGGGTTATTTGCCTTTTTATTATTGAGTTGTAGGAGTTCTTGACATATTCTAAATAAAGTCTCTTATTAGATACTAGAGTCCCAGTGCACAAAATTCATGCACAGGGGGAGTCCCCTCAGCCCAGCCGGCACCCTCTCCTATCTGGGACCGACTGCCAACTGGCAGTCAGACATCCCTCTCACAATCCTGGAGTGCTGGCTCCTAACCGTTCACCTGCTTGCCTGCCTGCCTGCTCGCCCCTTGCTGCCCCACTGCCGGCCTGGTCGCCCCATGCAGCCTGCTGTTCCCTTGTCCGCCCCGTTGTTTCAGTCGTGATGGCCTCTGGTTTTTTACATATTAGGGTATGATTTGCAAAACATTTTCCCCATTCTTTGCTATCCTGATTTGTCCTTTGAAGCATAAAGGTTTTAAATGCTGATGATGTTCAATTTTGTTGCTTGGGCTCACACTTTGAGAAATATTGCTAAGTCACAATTGACAGGAAATCTCCAAGTGTGGGACTTCGTTTCCCCACCCCAGCCAGCTGAGGCTCCTTCTCTGGGCTGGACGCACAGAGTCCCACGGGACCTTCACCATGTTTACATCCCCTCCCACTCCTGAGGTCTACCACAATAGAGCAGCTGAAATGACAGTTTGCAAATGTCCTTTATTGTGAAAACTCAATGGCCTTTGTCTCTGGAATTTGAAATTTTGATGCACAAGTTGGCAGCCAAGCGTTTGGAAGGAGGAGGGGAAGGGCCCAGAGAAGAAACCAAGGCATTGATTTCCATAGTGAGTCATTTCTACTCTATGTTGTCTTGGTTTTTCTCACCCATAAAGTGGGGGAAATACCTCCATCTCCCCATGTCAGTGGGGGTACTATGAAGAAGAACTCTTTGAGATCTTGGATTAAAGGCATCACTGAGGCACAAGGTATTATTATAACAATAAATTATTTAATAGCATGGAGAGTGAAGCTACTAAAGCAAGAATGGATAGGGGCAGGAAGGAGAGAGGCTGTGAGTTGTGGATGGAGGAGCTGCAGCCTACAGCTCCTGGGCCCAGAGACAGGTTTTATTCTTAGAGGTGAGACTGTAGGTTTCTCTCAAATGGTTTGGGTTATTTCATCTGATTCAGCATTGCTTTACTGAGTGCTTCTGTAAGAAAACATGACACTCTTTTTTGGAAATAAACTCGATGTATATATACATTAAAACCATTAAAAACAATGCAAGACATTATAATCAAATGCTGAATTGAATATAATGAGTATCAAAAAGAAAGACTAGATGGTGAAGAGCAGTGGTCCCATTATGCATCCCAGGTCTATCACACTAGTGTGTGATCTTGGCTCCTCAGTTTCTTCTTTTTCTGTGACTGCAACTGTTCACTTAAAAGGCTTAGAATAATGGCTAGCACATAGGAAGCACTCAATGTGGGATCTACCTGGGATTTCACCTTGCACTCCTTTTGTTGGTTACACAATCTTGGCCAAGTTGCTAGATCCCTCCCATCCTGTTATCCAATCTGTAAAATGGGCATACAGATAGTTACTGGCTCCCTAGGCGGCTGTGTAGACGACGCGAGACAATGTAAATCGCATAGTACCTACAAATGGTAAGCATTCGCTCAATGAGTTATTATTACAGTCATTAACACTATTTCCCGCTCCGGTGGAGGAGTAAGGGGTGCGCTCAACGATTAGTTGAATCACCAGCTTTCTCAGGAAGCTGGAATATGAGATGGGCAGGAAGGTACTGGTAGGATTCCGGTGAGCAGAGAAGAAAGCGGGATCCAAGAAGACGGAGTCCTGAGGACGGACTGCAGTCTGGAAGGCAGGGAAGGACCGGGCCTTCTCCAATTGTCCTCCAGCCCGGAGCCCGGCCGGCTGCATCTGGTCGAGCCGTGGCGGCTGTTTACCTCCGAATCCCCTTCCACGTTCTCGACTCTCACCTTCCCCGTCGGCCGGTGTAGGCTCAGCAGGGCAGGCGCAGACCCTCCTCCCTGAGGAATGTGGGTTCGCGTCCCGGGCCCGCGAGGCCCCGCGCATACCTCCTCCCCCGCAGTCAGGAGCCCCGCTGTCTTCACCTCACCCTCCGCCCGGATCCTGTTTCAAAGTCACCTGAAAGCCATTTCCTTCCGCGTCCGCCCCTCCCCTCCCAGCCCCTCCCCTCCCAGTAAATCTGCTGGAGCTTGCTTGTACCTGGAGCAGCTTTTTTTTTTTTTTAAGCGGGGTGGGGGGTGGGGGCTTGTTTTGTTTTTAAGAATTCTCTAAGCACCGTTTACTATATACACTCGTCTACCCCCGGATCTCAACTATACCCAGTGGTTCTGATCCCAGCGTCCCTTCCCTCCTTCTTAGGAACAGGTTTGAACGCCTAACCAGTAGGACCTCCTCCAGGCTCCCCGCCGGGCTTCTCCCCTCTAGCCGTGTGCTGGGACCGCATCTTTTATCCAGGACCTTTATTGCTGAATTATTTCGGGTTTTCAAATGTACGCTTTTGCTCAAAACCCAGCCTGCCCCCGTCCCCTTCCCCCTCTCCGGTGTGTATCTTCCCATGCCACAAAAACGGGGTCGTCTATTGCCGTAGGTTCTGCATCTCCCCCTCCACCCCCACAGTCTCGTGGTGGACTCCCTCCAAGCAATCGGCTCCATCTCTCATCAGCTTCTCACAGGCTCGGATTTACATCAGGAAAGGGTCACGGGAACCGAGTTTCGGGGAGGAATTCAAGTCGTGCCTCTCGGACTCAGAAGAGCCGAGCGGACCAGCTCTGGTGGGTTCAGGATCCCCAAATCGGACCGCAACCGGAAGCCTCCTTTCCTGTGCGTGCCACGGGGGACGTTTGGGGGGGGGGCGGAGTCCTCTTGGGAGGAGGTGATATCAGGTATGTGACACCAGGGTGACCCCACCACGTGCGTGTTTGCATCTTGGAGCCTGGAGGCTGCCCGGGAGCGGCCCGCGCGCCCTCCCACCTGC